TCATTCATTATGGGCACCTATCATGTTTACCCATTCATCCCCTGCGGCAGAGATCCAGTCCAGTGCTGGACTGTCCTTGTTATCACATGCTCTTCCTCCACTCACTGTACATCCTTAATTTGTCTTTTATTACAATTTAATTAATGTAATTAAAATGAATTAATTACAATTAGAACCTCTCGTCCATTTGGATACCCCAGTTGAATCTCCTTTCGTCTTCTAGACTCACCATGAATAATTTTAGTTCATTTTACCATTCTCCATGCTTCATATTTTCTAAGCTTCATATTTTCTTAGTACGGCTTTTTGGCTGTACTCTAAACCTCAGGTTTTTCAGATACACGCTTGCATGAGTAGGTATACAAATGTAAGTAGACCCAGCAGAAAAGCCAAAACACATGTTGCTGGCTTAAAACAAATCAACCAAAAAATGTATATAGTGACTCTAAATTATAAATGTTTTGAATTTCAAAATTAATTCTATTTGTGCAAAACCACTCTAGCAGTGAGTCAGACTTTATTGTAGGTCAAGCTTGAGACCAAAGACCTTGGGTTTATATTTCATAGTTCAAGCATCATTGATGGAGTTTTGTTTTAGTAAATCTTTTTTGCTTTTCACATCTCCATAGATTTGTATGTGTCTGACCACAGACATATGTTTGTACATGTCTCCACCCACAGAGTGTCTGCTATATGTGAATTATAAATATACCCATCTTTTAAAATAGACCTTTATCTTTAGTGTTAATTGTGTCTTTGCTTCTTCCACTGACTCAGTGTGTAAGTAAAGTTGGGAAGACCTGTATGCAGTTGGCCATACACTGCCTTCTCACTAATTATTTGTAAGTTCCTCTCTGTAGTTAGTTTCAGCCAAGCTCAATGGTACCCAGCAGCTGATTTAATTTAAAAGCAACCTAGGGGAAAACTGGAAATTTCTCTTTCTCTGACCATATTTCCAAATGGCCAGGTGGCTGCTGAAGTCAGAGTCGGGTGCCATGGCCTTGATCTTTTGCATAGAATGAGGCCAAACTGAAGTACGTTTTTAGTGTCCATGTAGAGGCCTTTACTTTTCATATAAGACATTTAAAACATACAGAAAATATGTTTTTACATATTTATGTCGAATATTTATACATACAGCATAAATAATACTTAGCCCCTCCCTTTCCTTTCCTGTCAGTGCATTTTACTTTCTTGGGGACTCAGAGCTCTTCTGTCCTGCTATTCTTTTAGCTACCTTTTAGTACTTGGAAAATTTTCTTTCTTGTGAGACTTCATGGGCAGCAGAGTCCACCACCCACAAGGGAAACTACAACTGCAAAGAATCACTTCCCAGCATCCTTTGCCGCTAGGGTCTGAGCTCTGCAGGTCAATGCATCTGTCCTGATCTCTGGTTGAGAGCCAGTGGCACCAAAAGCTCAGGGACTGTGAAGAGTTCACTCTGACTGTAGGGACAGTTGACATAGGATTGAGTCCTTAGGACAGCAGAGACTATGTGGCTGGTGGCCATGAGTGGTGTCCAGAGCGGGTACTGTTGGCTACCCAGGCTGCAGCTTTGAGGGTTTGGCATTGTGCCAGCGGGATCTATATCAGCCCTGTTCCAAGGCATGTTTGCCTCTTGTTCCTGATTGCCCACCTCAGCTTCTTAATATGCTGTTAGCTAAGTACTTTTCTGTTTCAATCAGGCAGTGTTGATTTCCATTTCTTGAAGTTAAGTATCTTGATTGATACACTCTGATACATAGGCTCTGGACCCAGTAGTTTCAAAACTCTTTTTAACCAAGGAAACCTTTTCTTAAGTGATATCTTATGAGGCAGCACACCACATGAAGTTGAGAAAAGAGGTTCTGCTTTGGGTTAGGGTCCCGGAGGGAATGAAACATAAATGCATTAAATCCATTGCCCTGGACATTTTGTGATCCTGGATCAATTATTGCCACCTGTCTATGTTCCCCAGACCCTGGTCTCTGCCAGACAGTCACTGGGCGAGCAGGGGGTGGAGTTTGCTGCTGGCTCTCCGTGTGCCTTGCATTTCCTCCAAGACACCAGACATCTTTGCCTGCTGAGGGCTTTCATCAGCTGAATAGTTACACACCATCCTGTGTGCTGCCCCTGCATAAATGTGGATACCTGAATCAAAGAGGTTTTGTGTCTCTTAGAGTCTTCTTCAAAATACCAATCCATGTTTAAGATAAAAAACATAGCAATCAGCTGGGTATGGTGACTCTGGGAGATCAAGGTGAGAGGATTGCTTGAGCCCAGGCACCAGAGAATTGCTTGAGCCCAGCCTGGGCACCATAGTGAGACCTCATTTCTACAAAAAAAATTAGCTGGGTGTTGTGGTGCATACCTAAGTCCCAGCTTCTTGAGAGGCTGAGGCAGGAGGATCGCTTGAGAGCAGGAGGCCAAGACTGCAATAAGCCATCATTGTGCCACTGCACTCCAGCCTGGGCAACAGAGCAAGATCCTGATTCAAAACAAACAAAAAAGTAGCAGCAGCCTAATCAGCAAGGTCTCACATCCACCCTCACAGGTAGGGAAGGCTGTCCTGTAGCAGATCTCTCAAACTTGGCACTACTGACTTTTTTTTTAACTTGTCATTTTGAGATTGTTGTAGATCCACATTCTATTGACATTTTAGGCCAGATGATTCTTTGTTGAGGAGGCTGGCCTGTGTTTTATAGGATATTTATTGAATCCCTGGTCCCTACTCACTTGATACCACAAGGACTCCCGCCTTCCCTGGGTGTGACAGCCAGAACTGTCTCCAGACATTGCCAAATGAATGTTCCCTTGGGGGCAGAATCATACCTGGTTGAGAACTACTGCTGCAGAGTCATTTTAAAGGTACAAGGAGTGGTGCTACCACTGTGGGGACCACAACTGGACCTGACTGACTTTCTGTGGCTACAGTAGAAGCACTGGACCTTGGGGCCTTGGATGGAGAGCGATGGAGGTGAAGTCAAGGGTGCTGAGAGGGCCACTGCTCATTTCCAGTGAGGCTGAAGATTTGGTGTGGGTGGCCTCTCAGGTCGAAGAGCTGAGAGGCAGCAAGCTGTGGCATGTACCCTCTTATTCCTGAGCACATGAAGTAGAAGGCAGGGCCAAGGAAGTGAGGCCTGGGGAACCCCCAGCCTCCTTTGCCCCTTGCTGGGACTTCCTGAGTAAAGGAAGAACTTGGGAACTATAAATAGGTGCACCTCACTGGTGATTCAGTGATCCCAGGGTGGGAGCAAGGGTGGGGATAAAGGAAGGACAGAGAAGCTAGGAAAGGTCCCAAGGAAGGAAGATCTCTGAAGAGGATAAAGCAAGGCCTTTTGGTGGTTGGTGGGGATGCTCAGATCACTTCAAATAGACACCACCTCGCTTTAGGAGTGGCCTGAAGACAGTCCTCTCCCTCACACAGTCTAGGAAAGATCAGAAATTTGGAAGAAGGAAAGAAGGGGTAGAGTTTCTTATCCCTGTGCCTTGATTTAGGGAAGGAATATCAGATCTCATGGGAGCCTAGTGAATTCAGCAAGTTCCTTTATACAATGGATATCTGAATCAAGTTTTTTCAAGCTGGAGTAGTGGCTTATACCTGTAATCCTAGCACATTGGGAGGCTAAGGCAGGAGGATCACTTGAGCCCGGGAGTTTGAGACCAGCCTGGACAACAGAGTGACACCTCATGTCTACAAAAATTTTTTAAAAATTAGCTGGGCATAGTGGCACATGCCTGTAGTCCTAGCTACTCGGGAAGCTGAGGTGGGAGGATCGTTTGAATACAGGAGGTCGAGGTTGCAGTGAGTTATGTTCATGCCACTGCACTCCAGCCTGGGCAACAGAGTGAAACCCCGTTTCTGTCTCTTAAAAGAAAAAAAAAATTCAGTTCAGATGCTATTATAGTTGTAAATATGCAGGTCAAATATTACCAGGGTCTGAGTTGCTTAAGGATTAATGCTTGTACTTCTGTGGAGGAGATTATAATTTTTCCTTAATAATGAACCTATAAAATAAAAACAAAAGCTTCATTGGAATAAAGTGTTATTTTTTGTGTACAGAGAAACAGTTAAATTAAAACGATACTGTATTTGACTTTAGATCATGCTAACTTGATATATGTTCGACTCTATTATAAATTCAATCCTAAATAAACCACTAACACCAAGAAGCAAAATAAATCATTTTCAATGAGGAAATAGGTGGGCGAGAACTAGCATATGGTATAAAGTTGTACAAACTAAAAATAAAGCAGTCTGGTTCTCCTCAAGTAGCTCTTAGGTACTTTGAATGTATTCAGTGGAAGAAAAATAACAAATCCAAACATGATTAAATACATTTTGACTTAAAATGTTATCACATAAATTTAGAGACAGAAAGCAGAGGGTGTGAGGGTAGGGACTGGTTGCAAATTGGCACAAAGAAACATTTTGGGATGATTGAAATATTCCAAAACTGGATCGTGGTGATGGTTGAACAACTATAAATTTCCTAAAATTCACTGAGTTTTACGCTTGCAATGTGTGAATTCTGTATGTAAATTTTATCTCACTACAGTGATAAAAGAGTTATTGCTGAGTGCTTTAAATGACATCTTATTTAACTGAGCAGTTTTTATGTCTGGTTGTTTCCTTTCAACAAGTATCTGACTTCAGCAAGTCATTTAAGCCCTCTGGGCTTCATCCTCTTCTCTAGAAAATGGAGGTGATAATGTGTCTGCCTCAGAAGGCTGCTGTGTTGGTTAACTGAATTAATGAGTGTAAAGCACTTGTTCCACACCTGGCTCCTAGTGTTCTCACCACCACCACCATCACCAGGGTCCCAGTTAACTGCCACTGTCCCTTTCTTCCCTAGCCCTGGCTGAGGCTGGCTTTCTGGTCTAGACTCATTGTCCAGCCTCCTCTTCACCACAGCTGCAGTCAGGGTGGGACTTCCAAACGAACACCAAATCATTCTGGAAGCGTTGCTTTAGGCAAGTCCAAACTCCCACTTTTGACAGCCCTGCCCCCCCCCCCCCAGCTTCTTCTTGGTTTCCTCATCTTGCTCTTCCTCCAGCTATCTTTCAGTCCTCGATGCCGGTTTGAGCTTCTTCCACTTTTCATCTGTGCTTAACCTGGGTCGGCCAACCACTGCTCTTCCTTTAGGTCCAGCATGGTGTAACTCCTGGGGAAGCCAGCCAGGAGCCCATGTTAGGCCCTCAACTTTATGCCCCTCTCACAAGCAGTATGGAATTGTAATTACCGTAATTACCCATGCACCACTAAGTGCCCCATGAGGTAGGGCGTGCCTTCCTGCCCTGCATGACTTGTAGCTTCCCATAGTGCCTGGCACGGGATCAGCCGACCTTGAAGGTAAACTGTGTCTCTGAAGTTGCCTTCCTGTTTTAATTGCTCCAGGGAGATAACTTGAGCCAAGAGCATTTTCTGTTAACTTAGAAAGACTAAAGTCTAGAACTCTTTTTCTCTTTAAGTCTTTGTTCAACAGAAAGCTCATTTTGGCTTCCAGAGGTTTGACTTAAACTTGAAAAGAGATTATGGCCTTGGCATTAGAGGGGATGGTACCTTTCCAAGGGGAAGGGCCTTTCTCTGTCTGATCTCCTGTGATCTTACAGTCCTCAAGTTAGAAATGTTTTCTTTGCATGGAATAAGAAAGATTACCTAGGAACCATGTGGTAACTTGCAAACCAACTTTTTCTTATGAAGATCTTTGTTTTTTCCATACATGTATTTTAAAAATACGTTCGCATGAAGCAATGTTCCAGTTTTAATTGGAAGAATTCAGTGGTTTACCACCATCCCTGGTAACCAGCCTTTTCCTTCCCCCACCACTTTTGAGCTGGTGAGTGCTGGTGGTCCCCTAAACTTCTGTTCGTGTGTATTTTATCCCATCTTTAAACATTTCTAGTTGAGCTGTATTTTATAATGTGCATAATATTACGTTAATACTTCTATATGATTTGCCAGTAAGTAATATATACATACATTGGGGCTACATGCTCAAGTGTTGTATAAAGGCGATTGAAGTTGGCCGGGCACAGTAACTCTCACCTATAATCCCAGCACTTTGAGAGGCCAAGGCAGGAGGATTGCTTGAGCCCTTGAGTGTGAGACCAGCTCAAGCAACACAGCGAGACCTTGTCTCTGCAAAAAATTTAAAAATTAGCTGGTGTAGTGGCGCAAGCCTGTAGTCCCAGCTACTCTGGAGGCCAAGACAGAAGGCTCACCCTAGCCCTGGAGGTCCAGGTGTGATCCTGTCACTGCACTCCAGCCTGGATGACAGAATAAGACCAGACTCTAAATAAATAAAGTTTGTCTCTTGTAGGCAGCATATTGTTACCCCCAAAAAAGTGGTTGAATTTGTAATGCACTATTTTAAAAGTAGGAATAGCATAATATTTACCTTGAAATTTATCTCTATGATGGTTTGCAAACTTTAGAAATCAGCAGAAGCTTTTCTTCAAAGGAAATTGTAGTAAAACTCCTCCAGTGTGCATCCAGCACCCACACAAGATGTGAGTAGAGGACTCAGGACCAAGGGACTGGGCCGCTCGGCGTTTGTGAAGCACAGTTACCCGAGAGCTTTAGGGATGCCCTCACTCCCTTGCTACCACCACTGGGACACCCTCCTCTGGTCTGAATGGGACCAGGGGTGGTTGTTGAGCTCCCGGCTGAGTCTGAAAGCTTCAGGCTGAGAACGGCTCCTTCCCAGAGTCTGAACCATGGCTCCTGGATGCCGAGCTGAGGGACTTGAATGCAGGAATTGTGTCACAGCGGGAAGGACTCTATGAAGACTTTTTTCCACCAAAGGTAAATCTGTTAGTAATGGAATTAGGTAATTGGCAAGACATTGGGTACTCAGAACAGCTGTTGACACCTGGAGGAAGTTATGGGAAGTAGCTTTCACCTGGTGCAGCAGCCCTGACAATCTCTTATCTGATTGCCCACTTTTCTTCGTCTGTACCAGATGTGTCATCCCATTGTCGCCTTTCCACTTGACTTACTGGGGTTTCTGGGGAAGGTGAAGGTGACGGGCAACAGCTGTTTCCTTCCTCTGTCTTCCATGCGCCGGGATCTGGGGTTGGGTAAACAGGGCCAGCCTGGGTGAGTCAGGGCAGCTGGGGTCCACGGGGCTCAGGCAGGGCTCAGAGAGGAAGGGCCCATGGGAGTGGGGGTGGGGTTGCCAATCCTTATCTCTAAACCCCACTGTTAGCCGGCTCACAGGCTAATTGTCATAACTCTTCACCCGCTGGCTTCCAGCAGCTGACTGGGCTGTTCCTGAGTGTCTTCATTTGCAGATGGCTCACACATATCCTCATTCTCTTTCATTTCCCATTCTCAGAGTAATAGAGGAAAAGGTTGCTGCCTTCCCCACTCAGGGTCCCGTCCCTGAAACCAGGGCCACTGTGCCCCTCCCTGCCTTGCTGCTGTTCTATCAGGATCCTGTGACTGTACACATAGCTTCAGCTTGTCCTAGACCAAGGAAGTAGGCAGGAGAAACTTTACCAGACACACTTGGAACACATACACAGTGTTTGGTTTGGGGGGTCATGGTTCTCAGGGTTGTCCGGGAAGCTTGGGTATGTGAGTATTTCAGGAGTGTCCGTGTGTCTGTCTGGCCACCTCACTAATGCTAGCTTACCCTCAGATCCTAACTTAAAATCCCCTGCTCTGGGAAGCCAGTTCCGACTCTGGATCAATCAGGTTCCTTGCCTGCTGTGTGCCCACTGGAACAGTGGCTGCAGTCATACATCCACTCAGTTCCACCCCAAATCTATCTCCTAGTCTGCAGGCCTGTGCCCCCAACACCCTCATCATGTGCCTGGACTCCTGCAGCAGGGCTCTCCCACCTCCTCCTCCCTTGCCAGCTCCACAGTGTCCTGGGGACGGTCACTCTGGCATTTCCTAAGTGGGGTTGGCTGTCTGCAGAAGGATTCCCTGAGGTGCTTTTTGAGCCACTCAAGACCTGCTAGATCTGACCTCTGTGGGGGACCTGGGAAATGCGCATTTACAAGTTTCCTGGTGATACTGATGCAGGCAGTGTCCACCACGTGCCCTCTTCATCTTGTGACCTCGCCCCATGTACCACATACTCCGCCCTCCACATCTCACAGCCTTCATCTTCCCTAGCGTGCCTCTGTTCCCTTTCACACATGGAAGGCTGGCCTGTCGGTGCAGAATGCAGGTCAGGTAGTCCCTCCTGACCGCAACTCCCTCCTGGTGTCCTGTGCTTACCTCTGTATTTGGCAACTGTGGAATCCAACTGCCCATCCCAGGGCTGATCATTTTTTAGGCTGCTCAGAACAAGCAACTGCATTTCTGCACTCCTGATATCTAATACAGTCTGACACACAGGAGGCATCACACAATGTTTTGAGTTGAATTTGTGAGTTGAGGGTGACCAGAGTGAGGAGCATCCTGAGTTGCCCTGTATCCTGTGGCTTCTTCATGTGCTTAGCCCCCAACTGCCCCCCTCATTTTAGAGGAAAATGTGGGTGAGGATATGAAAGTATAGGAGATAAGGAAATATGGTAACACTATTTAAGTTGGGAAACATCCAGATTTGGTCTTAATGCTCCCAAGACCTCAGTGTCGTGGAGCAGTGGGGTAAATGGAGCTGAAGGCTCTCCTTTTCATGAAATTGCCAGGTGCATTTATTCTTACGTTCCATGGGTCCATTGTTCTTTCTTCAAGTCTTTATTAAAGTGTGCGTGTTAACGAGGAAGAGGAGGAGAAAGGGCATGCAGCAGAACAGCCCCACCCCATCTGTTACTCCATCTCAGATATCTCCGACAAAAACAAGGATCCCCAAGACTTCCATTGCCTCAGTTCCCATCTCTTATGTTTCTTACCATTGGCTAGAGCCATCGATAAAATAAAGGTGATTTGCAAAATGTAGCATGGGGGAAAGAAAATCTGTGATATGCTTCTGGAAATTTATCTTACAAGTATGGATAAGGTTGCACATTGCAGCCGTGTTTGTGGAAATGGTCTGTGTGTCCACCAAGACAAACCATGGTCCAGCCACACAGGGGAACTCTGCAACTGGAACAGAAAGAAGAGAAGGCCACATGGAAAGATTCCCACTCTGTGTTGTTTAGATCAAGAAGCAAGGGACAGAACAATGTCTATATCTCGTATGCATTTTTGTATAAGAAAGGGAGAGGCGGGGCTTGGTGGCTCAGCCTGTAATCCCAGCACTTTGGGAGGCCGAGGCGAGTGGATTGCCTGAGCCCACGGGTTCGAGACCAGCCCGGGTGACTCGGTGAGACCTAGTCTCTACAATCAAAAATCAAAAATTAGCCGAGCATGGGCACACACACTCGTAGTTCCTGCTACTTGGAAGGATCACCGGAGCTTAGCAAGTTGACGCTGGGTTGGCTATGAGTGTGCCACTGCA